TCCGCCGCCGCAGTACTCTGCCGCTGCAGTCGCAGCTGCTCGTTCCAGGCGTACAGTTCTCGTCTTCGCTGTTCCTTGAACTTCTGCTCAGACCGCAGCTGTGTTGTCTCCTTCCCAGTGCCTCTATCCGTGCTGAAGGTGATAATTGATGCTAGTGGCTGCACACGCAGCCCCGTCCGGGACGAAATCTGCGAGGATGACAAATTCACCCCTCTCGGTGACGCCAGAGGAATGAAGGGTTTCTGATGATGAGGCAGTCCGCCGCTATCGCCCGTAGTGATACTGTTCTTGCAGCAATTGACGGCTGTGTAACTGCTACTATTGTTGTTGCTGTTGCTGTTGTTGTTGCTGTTGCTGTTGTTGTTGTTGTTGTTGTTGCTGCTGTTGTTGTTGTTGTCCTCTGCCGTAAAAAAGCACATTTTTTGAGAGTCTGCAAACTCCTTATCCCGCTCGTGTACTAATGCCATATCGGTGAAGGACTGAACCTTTTCCATCATGGCTGAGGGTACGGCCACCGCTGCCGAAGAGGTGCTGCTCGTACGAGTGCTGAGGCCGGTGTTGCTGCCCGGCGCTGGGATGCTCTTTGCGAACTTGGATCTCCGTTGCTGTTGCTTCGATGTCTGCCGCTGCGACAAGCCCATCTGTGGGGAGGGGGAGGAGAGACAGTGCAATGGCACGGTGCGCGATGAAAGGCGTCCGCTGCACCGCACACTCGACCGCGAGAATGCGGCTTTATTCTGCGCGCAGAGAGCCTTCGCCTCGGAAGTGTTGGACGGGCTTTGTGCTGGCTCATCCGCCTCAGGCGTAGAGATGGATATATATATATATATATATATAAACTAAGAGAGGGAGGGGAAAGGGAGAAACACCGCACAGTAAGGCGCACTACTAACGGAGAGAGAGAATAAAAGATAGGGTGGAAGTGGAAACACAACATGCCGCAGTATGTGGCAGAGACAGCGCCATGCAGAGGCAAAGGGACAGTGCGAGAGTGAGCAAGAAAAAACAAATGGAAGCAACGAAGGAGCTGGAGCGGGTGGGGCACGGGCAAAGAAGTGGCGCAAAGGACAAATAATTAAATAAATATTTATATTTAGAAGATCCAAAACATAACACAACCAATGCAGCTCCCACACACACACACACGCACGTTATTCGTCTACCTCTGTGTGAGTGCATGCATGCCCACCACCACCACCACCACCAACTCCTCCTACTTTCCTCATCGCACGCACTTCTCTCTCTCTATCGTTTTTTTTTTTTGCGTGTGTATGATATTACCAGGAGGAAACGAACCGACCAATACGAAAAATAAAATAAAATAAAAAAAAGCATCTGTTGCTGGGTGGCGGCAGTGATGGGTTAAAACTGACCCTCAAGGGGAAAGCAAGAGGGAAAGACAAAGGCGAGAAGAGGGTGAACGGGGGGAGGAGGAGGGAGACAATGAGCTCCGCCTCTCTCGGCCCCCTCTCACCGCAGTCGGAAGTCCTGGTCGTAGTGGCTTGACTGCCGCTCTCCGTCAAACTCAACGTGAAGGGCAATGTCAAGGTCGCGCGGGTTGCCTTTATTCGGGCAGCAGCTCATACGGAACTTCGCCCGCTCGCCTTTATTCATCTGCAGCGGATTGAAGAGGTACAGCACCGTCTGCCTCCAGTGCGTCGGTGCCGTCAGCGGGGTGGTGGTGAGTACGACCACCTCGTGGCCGGCTGCGAAGGGGGTGTCGAAGTGCACGCTGAGCGCATCCACGCATCCCGACCGAGCCGCGACGAGCTCAAACTCGCTGGTGAACGCGAGGTCCGCCTCCTGCACGGTGTTGATGTCAAAGGAGCAGAGGTCCGAGGTGTTGGTCACGATTTGGTTGCGGTGCACGGTGTCAATAAGAGGCTCAATGTAGCTCAGGCGCTTAAAGTAGGAAAAGTCAAAGCCCTGCACATCGTCCCAGACGTCAAACCGCTCCTCCTTGTACTGCTGGTCGCTGATGCCGCTGACGTACATGTTCGCACGGTCCGGAAAAAGCTTCACACCCGGCGCGCCCCAGCGATCACGTGCGTAGAGGACAGTGTTGAGCATCGACTCATACAGCAAGAAGTACCCCATCCACTCGCTAATGATGATGTCAACTTGCTCGTCCAGCTGCAGATCCTCCACCTTTCCCTGAGTGATGGTGATGATGTTCTCAAATCCGTTATCCTTCACAATCTGCCGCGCCTGCACCGCCACGCTGCTACAGTCAACACCAATCACCTTGCGTGCGCCCGCCTTCGCGGCAAACATGGAGAGGATGCCTGTGCCGCACCCAACGTCCAGCACCACCTTTCCCTTGAAGAGGTACGCGTTGCGCCAGATAGCGTCACGGTAGGAAGTCGTGCGGTGATAATCCTTCAGCATCTCCATGTGAATCCCATAGTGGCTGTAGGAATCAAAGTAGTAGTCGCCTGTGGCTGACCCTGCCGTGGCCTCACTCACTGTTGCTGCTGTCGTCATGGCCCGCTGCGATGCTATCAATGCAGTTGCCAGTGTTCGCTTAAGTGATGCAGCGGAAAGCAAAGAAGGGTGCCCAACACGACGCAAAGGAGAAATGTTGGCAATTAATTATGCGGGATGTTGTTTGCTTAGAAAACGGTGCGTGATGACGTCGCGGTGTGTGTTTTAGTTTTCTTCCTCCCGTTCCTACCAATCCGCCGCAGTTCGTTCCGAGTTTTATGTAAACAAATTATTATGACGTTCCTTCGCAGGCGTCCTCTCGCACGTCGCACTCCGTTTGCCTATCCGTGTCTGTCTGCCTGTATCTGTGTGCTTTTTTCTTGCTTCTCTGCTTGTGCACTCTCTTTTTTTTCCTTTTTGGATTTAATTCTCTTCCAACCTCGTCGCCGCGCCGCCACAAGCACGCGCGGTGGAAAGACAAAGGAAGAGGAAAGACAGTTGTGTGCGGGTGGACGATGTAAGCGTGCCGCTGCCTCTGCGAGCAGGCAAACGTGCAGGCATGCAACATACGCAAAAAAAAGCAACGGCCTCATCCGCTCCTCCCTCCCTCCCTCCCTCCTCCCTGGAACATTCTCCAGTTGCACCGCTGCGCCACGCAGTAAGTTAACAGATGTATATATATATATATATATATGCGCCAGCAACGCATGCACACACGGGCAGACAGGCAGGCAGAGATATTTACCAATAAGATGAGGGAGAGAGAAGGGTGTGGGAAAAGACGATAGGAGGGAGTCATCCCGACGCGGACCCGAGAGCTCGCTTCATGTGCAGCAGCGTCTTCTCGGCAAAGATGCCGCCATCTGACCACACCGTCACCGTCTCGCGCAGAAATGAGGCGACAGGTGAGTTCTGCGGCGCCGCCCCTGCCAGCGCCTCCACCATCCGCTGCATGTAGACCTCAAAGACAGATATGTACCGCACCGGCCACTCCAGTCTCTCGTGCCTCAGCAGTAGCATGTTGGCGATAAACAGCAGTGTCCCTGCCGCTTGCAACGCCATGTCCCCTGCGGCGCCATCTACCGCGTTTGCAACACGGATATCGTCGCAATGGCGCTTCTTCTCCCGTGCCTCGTGCACACGCTCGTCGCAGAGGTAGCACAGGACGTACAGGAAGGACTCCGTCATGGGGAGGCGACGTAGCATGAACTGCACGGCACCCTCGATTGCGGCACTATCGCGTTGGGCGCCGTCCAGCATGTCCAGAAAGGCGGCAAGGTCCGTCTCTGTGCGGAACATGTGCGGCATGTGCGGCCCATGCACCCCACTCGTCGAGGAAAAGTAATCAAGCAGCGACATCCACAGCGCCGAGACACGGCCATGCACCGCCGTGTACGACGCTCCTGACGCGGGGGCCGGGGCTCCGGTGGCTGTTGCTTCGGCCGCCGTCGCCTGGCCGCCTCGCTGCCTCAACAGTTGAACGTACAGGCGCCGCTCCGCGCTATCATCATCCCGCGTGAAGAGAAACCGGTGTTTGGGGTCCGTCACGTGTGCCACACAGTACTCTGCAAAGTCCGGGCTTGTCAGCTGCATGCGTAGCACACGCTCCACAAGGTCGTTTTGAGACACCATTTCTAAGATTGCCTTTTTAATGCTGTTGTTATTTTCCCTCCCGCTCACTCTGTTTTGCCGCTCAAACCTACACACACACACACACAGCAAGAGGAGAAGAGGAGAGAAAAGGAATTCAACCAACACCGCCCTGCCACAGCACCCGCGCTGCGGCTTCACGTAGCCCATATATATAATCCCCACGCGAGACGCAGATGGAAGCAGTAAAGCAAGAAAAAAAGACCATCACCGCCCTGGCGTGCGGAGAACACCACGTGCACGCACCCCATTTCCTATTTGTTCCCTTCCAAACGGCGCAAAACGCCCAAATAGAGCCGCCCTGGAGAGACAGAGGCTCAGATGCATACATCTCTAGGCAATCAACAATGCGATTATGTTAAATAAATTCCTCATCCCACTGGCCCCTTTTCCACTATAAAATAATAACAATAAGACAGACAAACAAACAAACACACATGTTTTCCCCCTCTCCCAGCAACACGAGAAACATCCTTGATTCTTGTAGTGGTTATGGACGCGAAAACATAGAAAGGAGGTAAAGAGAGAGAGAGAGAGAGAGAGAGGCATAACCACCTTATTTGTTTCAATCGCTCCCTGGCAACGTGAAAGCTCCTACGCCCCGTTTTGTGCTAAAGTCAAACTCTTTTTCCTTTTGCGCCTTGGTGCCGTTGCCATAGGGGAACTCGCGCCAGGTCCCTTCTTCTTATCGTTGGAGGCATCCATCAGCACCACCAGTGCGCCCCACGGCAGCTCCTCTGACTGGCCGTATTGCGCCCTGCGCGCGTTGATGAATGCCTCCAGCCACGGCCTCTGAGAGCTGTACACGTAGTGCACACGCACGCCGCCACCTGTAGTTGCAGCATCGTCATCTTCAAAGTCAAAAAACACATTTCCGTTCAGTTTTGTAACCAGCTCGGGTGCCGCATCCGCACTGACGTACACCGAAACACTGCTACGCCCCCTCCCGCTCACATTTGGATGCGTCACAATACGATGTATTGTGACCTCTGGGTGTGTGGCGTGCAGCAGGCGTAAGACGCTCCGTGCGTAGTCGGGTTCTGGTAGCAGTTGATCAAGCACAAGTTCTCTGTAGGGCCCAGCGTAGCGTTGGCAGCGCTCACACGACGCACGCACCACATCATGAGCCTTCCCGCATAAACGGCACGACCAGAAGCGCGACCTCTGCAGTCCCGTGCTGGGACTGTCAAGCAGTACCTGTTCATTTGCAACGTGTAGGTGGCGAAGATGGCAGCGGTAGATGATGGGGTACATGTTCCCGTAGTTCAAAAACCGTTCCGTGACGTGCAGCAAGTTATTATCCTGGCTGCTAAAGGCCACCTCCATCATGTGCAGCTGCGCCCACGTACGCTGAGGGGTGGTGACGGACGTCGCCGAAGATTCCTGCGTGTAGCTGGAACCAAAGTTACTGCCACCAAAGGAGGACACACCGTTGCAGCTTTTACTACTGCTCTTGCCAGGCGATACCACACCGTCCTCTTGGGTCTCGCTCTCTGACTTCTGCTTTCGACGCTGACGGCGATGCGGACGAAGACGCGAGTTTAGTGGTACATTCACGCTGTTCGTCTCATGTTCGTTGGAGGAGGAGAAGTCATCCTCGTCCTCGTGCGGGGTGTCCCTGTTGTGATGCTCCACACATCCCTCGCGTGGCTGCACCTGAAGCCTGAATGTTTTCTGTCGACTGAAGGCGGCGGGGGCGCCCCAGTCGAGGTGCTCCTCCTCCGCCACCTCCCGCATCGCGGCAAACGATGCCAGCTGCTGCAGCAGCGTTGGGCCGGGGGAACTCGTGATGGTGGTGCTAAGCTCATCGGATGGCCCAGACAGCAAGGGGGTGGTGAGGTGCGCAAAAAAGAGTGCCATGAGAATCAGGGCGGGGCCTTTGCTGCCACGTGGGAGCAGCGCCGTTCCCTCAGGCGTGAGGCGTGGACTGCCACGCCGCATCCTCCCCTTCCCTTCGTTGTGTAGGCTGAGTGTCATTTGCAGTCACTAGACTCGTTGTTGGTATTCCGCTTTTGTCGTCTGTTTGTTCGTTTTTTTTTCTGTTTTCCCCTTTTTTTTTATCTCTTCTTGTAGTGTTTCTTGCTTCCCCGCCTCTTTATTTTTTTCTTTCGGCTTTTTACGGGGTCCTAAGGCGCACCTCGCTCCTTCTCTCCCACTCACCCCAGTGATACGCCTCTATCCAAGCCTATGCCTGTTGGCTGCGGGTGGCGTTTGGTCCCCTCTTTTGCCTTCCTGTGGGAGGAAACAAAACAAAAATAAAAACAAAAGAACGCAAAAAAAAAAAAAATAGGTGTGAGCGGCAGGTTCGTGTTCGTGCGTCTGCAGCGCACCCGCAGGTCAGAGGCTACGCACAGTCAGAGCACCTCACGCGGTGTTAAGACTTATCAGAAGGCCCGCTGCCTCCGCTCACACAGCTACTCCTACCGATCTCCGCAGGGGTGACTTTTTCATTTATCTCTCCTGTTGGCTCCTCCTTTTTTTACAGTTTCATTTCTCTTCTTTTGCTCGTTGTGCTATACTTATTTTTCATTTCCTTCCTTAGTTCCACGACGCCCCTTTACGTGCGCGCCACTGTCATCTGCGACCTCCCCAGCCCCATAACAAGATAAAAAAAAAAACAAGGCCCGCATCATAGTTGCGTCCCTCAGAGAAAAAAAGGGAAGGGAAGTACAACGTGACGCCACGCAGCGTGTGTGACTTACAGATGTTTTTCCTCATTTTGAGATATAAAATATGCACCGGGTGCCTCGGAGCGGGGAGGCAAACGCACGGAGTTATTAGGCCTCCCTGCCACCCGCCCCCCTCCCACGCACAGGCGCACGCCCACAGGGCTCAGAAAAAGCAAACAATAATACAAAAAAAAAAACAGAAGAAGTTACACAAAACTTACAATTACACGCACAGCAGCAAATAAAAAAAGCACCAGAACATGTACAGATAAACAAACAAGTACGCACAAAAAGTAAAAAAAAAAAAAGATAAAATTCCTCCAGATGTGGGTTTGTCTCACCTCCCACAGATAAAGAGGGGAAGGGAGCAACCGAATGGAAAGTGATGGTTCGTTCCACTGCGCACAGCATTCCCCGCCGGGGAAGCGTGCAGTCAACTCCCACGCAGCAGCGCAAGAGAGCAGTGGCTCCATACGCCAGTTGAATGATCATCCGGTTTTCGTTGGGGGAGGGAAAGAGGAGGAGGGGAGGTGGTGGTGGGGGTGGTGGGGGTGGGGAACGACGGCGCAGCACCAAAAGGCCTGCACCGCCCGCTGCCTCCCTCCCTCCCTCCCCCAAACGCGGCAATATTTTGAACAAACACACGCAAAACAAAACAAAAAAAAAATGTTTTTTTTTCTCAGCACAATAGTTCAAAAACAAACAAAAACAGAAGGCAAAACACCGAGTCACACAGGCAGTGTTACAAACGCATGTGCATTCAGTTCACTTTGTCTTTTCTTTCGTTGTTGTTTTTTCTTTGTTTTTTTACTCTCCTTCGGTGAGAAAGAGTGACGGAAAGCCAAAGAGATGACCCAACAAAATAGCCCAGTGATTGGGTACGTGAGGGGAGTGGAGAGGTGTACTGCAGCAAAAGTTACCCGTTACCCCGGCATCGCACCCACCTCACTCACAGTCGTATGTGTACTATATATATATATATATATATACCCCTACGCTATTCACTCCTTCCCCGCCCTTTGGCTCCTTCATTATATTATTCAACTTTTATTTCACTCCTTTCCTCCTTCCTATTATATGCATATAATATATACACATATACATATATAGATGTATAGATATATAGATATATCACTCGTTGCGTATGTTAATGCGACGGCTACGCAACCCACGCCTGCTCCTTGATGACAGCCAGCATCTGCGGCTCTGCCGGCTCCCACAGTGGGTTGTATATGTACGGGTCGTGACGGTAGCGGCCACCGTCTAGGCAGACGGTGGTTGTGTACTCGTTCGAGTAGAATACGTAGACAGTGGAGTAGGGGTTGTGCTGGCGTCGGTGAGAGCACCTCCCCGCGTTCCACTGTGTAAGGATAGATGCGGACGCCTCCACTGTGCCTCCCCGTGTGTGTTGCAGCTGCGGCGAGGCGGCGTTGCAAGAGGAGGCTTCATCGACGGCGTGCTTCGCGTCATGGTTCTCCCCCCACAGCGGGGTGGTTGTGTTCACATCCGCTTCCGCCGACACTGCTGCAGGAGACGGCGCCATCGTCAGCTGTTCTTCCTTCTTAACATGGGACACCCCATCTTGAGAGTCTTGCTCCTCCTGCTGTCCGTGCACGCTTTCAAGCTTCCGGATGCACTCCGTCTCCACCTGCTGAATTTGCGCGTCCTTCTGATTCTGCAGCTGAGACTTTATCCGCTTGCGCTTCGTGGACGGCTTCTCCGGCATTTCAATCACCATTGGCTGGCGCGGAAGGTACATGGGACGTGTAGCCCATCCACCGACGCTCTCCGCGTGGTCCTGAATCCACGCCTTGCTACGCGGTGGGGCCACCAAGTAGACCTCGCTCCCGGCAGCGTTCACGTCGAGGAAGATGAGTTTGTTAAACTGCATCAGTCGTTTGGCGTCCTCCTGCGAGGTGACGAAGACCCATGTGCATCCCTTCCCACGGCCGTTCAACGCATTCGTGTGAGCCTCCATTTGAGGGATCAGCACGTCTGGAACGAGAAAATTCAGCAAATGCCGCAGCGAGGACGGGTGATTGTCGCGACGCTGCTGCCCAAAAAACAGACGTATGGTTTTCTTCGGCGCCCCTGTGACACCCTGCTTGTTGCCCTCACTGTGGGTCTTGCCTGTGGCGAATTGGCCGCCGTAGCGACCTGACGGGGACGGATGTCCAGTGAAGGCAGGAATGCAGAAAACCCCGTGCTCGTTTACGCCAAACATCCCGCGCACAAGATCACTGAGGCGCTTGTTGGTGCTGAGCAGCGTGATGACCTCGGGGAAGGACAAGAACAACAGAATGGGCAGCAGTACGGAGTCCGGCAGCGACCCAAAACGGCCCCCGCGCTCCCCCTCTTCAATGTTCATGGCTTCAAGGCGGCAGTCAATGCTGGGGCGGTGATGGCTCGGAATGTCTTCTGGTGGATGCAGTGTTCTGCGCGGGGTGGAGGCGAAGGAGGTGCAGGTACTGTCACTTGGCAAGTGTGAGGAGGAACCACTGCCACCGATGCTGCTGCCGCTGGCGGTGCTGTGGTGGTCTGCGTCGATGGGCATCAATGGTTGACCCTCACTTATCACGAGCATCTCTCGCGGCGTCCCTGGCGTGGCAGCCTCCACCTGTGCCCCGTCCACCGCTTGGCCCGCAGCAACCTCAGCGGTCTTGCGACGCCCCCCCCGCACCTTCTTGTTGTTAGTGTCCTCCTCTTCCTCCTCCTCGTCTTCATCCGTGTTGCGTCGAGGCTGCGCGTCCGCCTCCGTCACGTCCGCCTCCCAGAGTTTAGAGGCCCCAGCTCCCGCGTAGTCAAACATGCGCTCCCCCTGCGCCTTAGTCTCGACTTCTTCCACGGCGTTCCAGTCGTCCTCGCGGTCAGAGTTAAAGCCCGTACGAAATACATCGGCGCCCAGCGGGTACTTGACGGAGGCGGAGGCCGACATTAGCGCCAGCTCCTCAAGTGTAGGCGAAGTGGAGGGTAATGCCGCGGAGACAAGCAGCAGAAGGCCAAGCAGCTGTGCTTGTCGCAGCACCAGCGGGCTGTCGGCGTGACGTGTTCGCTCGCCGTATTCAAGATCCTTGTAATTCCCCATGGCCGCAGAACTGGCGACGTCGTCAGAAACCGTCCCCAGCTCTACGGCCATGTTATGCATCATTGTTGATTCAAGCTTTTTCATTTCTTCCCCTAATTTCCACAAGTTTCCATCTGTCCTTGATCGCCTCCTGCGTGAAATAAGCCGTAGAGTCGAACACTCCCTTTCCTTGTACGTTTGTTTTTCCTTCATTTTTTTGTTTTGGGGGTTGGTGTTTTACCTTTGTAGTTTCTGTTGATTGGTTAATTACGTTCCTTGTTTGTGTGCGTGTTCACTGAGACCGTCGTGTAAGAGGCCCGTGCTGTGTGTGTGCTGTGTGTGTTGTGTGTGTGTGTGCTAGAGGTCAGGCGCCGGGTTGGGCGGAAGCAGCAAAAAGACAAAATAGAAAAAAAAAAAAAACGGCGACACAGATAACTAAGCACGCATGCATGCATTGTCCCACGCCTACGCAGAGGCTGCGCCCACGCATTGCACAGTGGCACAAAGCATGTATACATATTTTGTTGCTGCTGCTGTTTTTGTTTTTTTACACCTCCGCCCATGCATGCATCTCCGTGCGCGCAGGGGCAGCAGGCGCAGACACACAGACATGGAGAGGGACGGACGGGGCAGAAGAGTGAGATTCTGGCACACTCAGTGTTATTATGCCGAGGAACCTCCGTGTAAAAAATGCAAAAAAAAATAAATAAATAAATAAGCAGGAATAAAACAAGAAAAAAAAGCAAACAAACAGAAGCATCTGCCGTGGGAAAATTTGAAGGGGGAGGCAACGGGTGTCCGCTACGAGGGAAATGAAAAGTATAGCAGAGACGCAGTCACGTGTACCCACCCCGTCCTGATCCTTCCTTTCCATCTCCACGGTTGTTCCTCCAGTCATGCCCAACTGCGGTGTGGCCGGCTCCTCCACGGAAAACCGCTTCGACAGAAGCGAGCCATTGTGGTCACAGTAGTACTTCATCCAAATGCAGTTTTTGCCCCCGCCGCGGCAATGGCGTTGGCAATAGACGACGACCTTGCCATGCCCGCCGCATGCACCTGGTCACTCCTGCTGTGACCACCACCAGTAGTTGTGCTACCACCGCCTTCGGTCTTGGTATCGTGCGCGGGTGCAAAGACCCCCACGCGGTTGGCGATGCCGTTATTTCCAACGTGCCTCCCTGGCGGCGCCTCCTCCGCCACGGAATCCTTCACACGAAAAATACAATTGATCTCACCGCAGAACAGGGATGCCTGCACGATGAGAAGGTCGCGAATGGCGGTGAGGCGTCGCCTGGACTCCATAAATGTGGCACAGCCAAAGACGATTGTTACTAGCCGTTTGCTGCGTAGAATCGCACTCGCTATGAGCGTGTTCAGACTTTCAAACTCGTTCAGCAGCAGCGCGGAAAACGGCAGCGTACTGCAAGAGTCAAAGGCAAACAGACCGGGGGCCGATCATGTTTACCCACCAATTATTCTCCATCTTGTCAAGACGCTCGAGACAAATTCCCTCCACTGCATCACGCTGCAGGTCCACCGGGGTGCATGCTAGCGAAATACCAAAAAAAAAAAAAATGGGAGACGCAATGCAGGCAAGCGTCCAACACGTCTTTATTATCTCCGTGCTCTATCAGGCACTGCATGACAATGCTCACAGGCGCCGCACCCAAGTCGTTGGCTACATCAAATGCGACGGCGTAGCACACGGTGTGGCCTCCGTTTTTCTCATTGGGCGCAAACTGCGGGATGGCCGAGATCAGTGCTGCAAATACTGCAAGTTCTTGCCATTTGCCGCTCTCCTGCGTTCCCTGCTGAGGCCAGGCAACAGGAGGAACGTGCACCTTTGTCCTCGAGATATCCTGAGGTGACTCAAACGTCACGGCTTGCTCCTGCGCTGCAAATGAGATACAGCCGCGGCGCAGGAGGCGACAAAGTCATGGATAATGACTGTAAAATGCACAAACCCCACGACAAACGTATCGCCCACGGCATTGAAGAGACAATGCGGGAAACTCCACTGTGATGGTTTCATCCGAAAAGGAGCTGTGAACCGCAGCACACCACCTTTGCCTCTGACTCCGCGTCTTTCGCCGCACCACTTGCGCCCCTCCCGCCAATCCGCAGCAACGGCACCACTGACACGTGCGCGGGCTGAATGAACTACTCGAGGGCGTACATCGTCAGGCACCGCGTCGGTGAGGTGAGAGACGTCACCACGCCTCCACCCCGTCACGGCGGCACTGCCAAAAAAGTCACACGCCGCCGGGCGCGGGGAAAAAAAAGAGGTCGTAGCAGCGCGGGAGAAAATTGTGAAGAAGTCGAAAGGACGACTCGCCATTGCGTGTCGCCAGTCGCCTGCTTGCCGCGCTGGGGGGCGCCGCCACTTTTCCATGAGGGCCCCCGCGTAGAAAAATAATTTCACCCCGCCGTGCACTCAGAAAGAAAGACCTGATGAAGCTCGGCACACTGCAACACCGGTAGGCCGATTTCGGGACAGGGGCACCCACCGTCCGTGTGATAGAGAGCGAGAGAACGGTTCAGGGGTGGAAGCGAGGGCAGAAATTTAATAACAATAATAATACAAAAGGGAAAGTATCAGAAAGAACGAAAGCCACGATGCACAGACCTGTAGACTCCTTCTTGTTGTTGCTGCTTTCTTCGTGTGTTGTGCCCTTGTGCTCGCCCCACCGACCCACCCACGCTTGCGCTCCAGCGCCCCCCTCCTTCCCTCCCTCTCTCCCTGCTCCTGCTGACTGTACATCCCTGAACGTGTGTAAGCGCGTGTAGGTGGTGTGCATGGGTGAGTGGACAGTTGCAGTAGCCACGGACCAGTGAGACTGGCAAGTTATCCCCCACAACCAACTATTTCTTTTCCTCTCCTTCTTCTTCTGCTTCTGTGACGTCACGCATTTCCCCTCAATTGTGCTGGACGCGACAAGACCGCAACAACTGGTGCAATCCATAGATGAATCGCCGGTGCAAGGCGGGCACAAGAAGGGGAGAAAAATAAAAAGAAGCAAGGCGGCATGTACGGGCAGCCACGGCGGGAGACACGAGTCGGCACACCCCCGTGGCGCTCACAGAGAGGCCGTGAGTTTCACAAGAGGTGTGGGGTTTTCTCTCGGCGACAACGGGGAGAAGGTGGCGCTCGGCCCCCTGAAGTCCTCCTCCTCCTCCTCCTCACACCAGGGGGCGGCGCCCTCTCAACCGTCGCTCGCCTGCCTGGTGGTGGGCCACGTGCTGCGGCAGCGGCCGTGTTGCGGGGTTGTCGATACATTCGCGTGCCTTCGCGGGGAATGAAAATAAAAAGCGAAACAAAAACAACAACAAAAATAAATAAATAAATCGAGTGGCGTGTGGCTCGGAAAAAAAAAAAAAAGGGCCAAACCGACAAACGCGCATGCGCCTGAAAAAAACAAAAACAAAAGAAAAACACATCCAAATAGAACGGCCACACAAGTGCAAAGGTAAATACAGAAAACCGCACGCATGCGCGTGGTGGTGGATGGGCGTGCTTATTTGGTGCAGCGATGGTGGTGGGTAAAAAAAAAAACGCACCTGCCATGGGGGAATCAGCACGCTGTCAATGCCTCGAGTGCACGTTGCAGTTCCTCCACCCCCTTCCTTCTAAAGCTAAAGTTGCCGGAGAGCGTATCGAGGGCGCGTACATGCACCAATGAGCTGCACGACGCCAGGCCACACTCCGGGCAGTACGACGCCGCCCCCTTCCCCCGCGCTTTGTTCTCCGGGTGCAGCAAAAGACATGATTTGCAAAACGTGTGACCACACGGTACACATGTTACAGGGTTGCGGTACAACTGCATGCATAACCCGCACGAATAGAGGCTCTCTGTCGCCCCCTCCGCCGCCATAAGCATCTCCATCACCGCTCGCAGTGCCGCTATTGCCCTTCCCTGGCCATCCTGCTGCTTCTGCCACTTCTGATGAAGCAGCACCGTGGATGCCATCCACGATAAACCCAGCTGCTGGGCACGTTCTAGCGTGGAGGCGAATAGATGCGCCTGCTCCTGCTGCATGTCATGCATACACTGCGACACGCCCAAAGCCGTTTGGCGCAGTTCCTGCAACTGCACCCGCATCTCCGCCAGAGACGCAGGGAGGAAAGGGTAAGCCATCTTCGGCGCTAGCCGCCTCTCCTCCTGCAACCAAAGTTTGTGCAGAGCCCGCTCGCACGCCACAGCGGGAGATGTGGTCCAGGCATTCGACATAATCGCGAGGCGCTGCGCCGACTCGTCCGCCACTACCACGTTAAGTGACACGGCGAGACTCAGTTGGGCCGTTACTTTTGCAGTCGTAGACAAAGCCTTGCAGTGGTCCGATGACCTCAGCAGGAGGCTCTCACGCTGCACCCTTTCTAACTCCATCAAATCTTCGCGCGCCTCTGCCTCGCTTCGCAGGAGCGTCTCGTGGTGGGCGCCTTTGACCAGCGCAAGTGAGGTGTGCAAAAGATCACACGTCGCCGTATTTTTTACACGCACCTCCTTCACCTGGTTGTGCGCGGCACGTGTCATCGTCGCAAGTCGACAGAGTTTAGTCCCAATTTTATCTATGCGATCCCGCCAGAGCAAATGCTTCGTTTCGTACTCTGCTGCAGTAGACTCTAACGCCTGCCGCAGAGCCGCCGCGTACTGTGCCCCCAACTTCTCTTGCTCGCACTCATGCTGGCGTTGCTGCGTCTCCGCCTCCTCTGCATGCAGTTCCTTTAATTGCCGCATCTCCTCCCGAAGCTGTAGCATCTGTTGCTGAAGCGTCTCACCCAGCGTCGTCACATCTGTCTGGTGTTGCAGCAGCAGTGTGTCGTAGTCCTCCTGTGTGGTCTGCAGGCGTGCGTTGAGCTCCGCCGCCTGGCGCCGCAGGTCCGAGGTGATGGTGTCGTGTGCCCTCTCCTGCAGCTGCAGCTTACGATGCGCCACGGTGAGCTCCTCCTGCGCCTTCTCCAGAAGCAAACATTCTGTTTGCCTTCTGATCCCGTGTAAATGATTATGCTGTTGTGCATGTAGCGCATCACGTGCGGCTGCCTCCCCTTCAGACACGGCTACTCGCATCGCCTTCTCGAGCTCCTGCACGACTTTCGAGACAACCGCATTGCACCGCTCTACCCGCTCCTGCGCCATCTGGTTCATCGAGGCATGTGCCGTGCGCAGGCCAATGCACACCGCATCAACCGAATCCCAGGCGTCAGCCAAGGCAGCCTTAACGGTTTGCTTGGCATCTCCATCCTCCAGCGCAGTGTCGCCCCTTCTATGGGTGATTTTCTCCACTGACAACGATGCCACGCGGCATCGCACCTCCTCCAGAAACTGCAGCACATGTCGTGTTATGTAGCCAAGATCCGCAGTGGCGCGTTCTAACTTTTCCTCTCCGTATTTTTTGACGCGTCGCAGCTCATCACACTCGCCCTGCAGCTGCGTGAACAGTCGAAGCTGCGACTCCATCTGCTGCTCCGCCACCGCAGCGTCACTCCTAAACGTCTGCTGCTCCTGTTGTCGTACCTCCTGCAACTTCTTGTGGGATTTCAGAAGCGACTCCAACTCGGCCCGCACGGCAGCGTGCACCTTCTGCTCACTCTCTTCAGAACCCTCCCGCTCGCGGAGGCGCTTAACCTCCTCCCGCAACTGCTCCAACTCAGCATGGTCGCCGCGGTACATTTCACTCAAGCGCTCAAAATTTCTCTGAATGGCGTTCACGCTATCAGTCCGCGCCTGCATTTCATTCCGCTGCTGCTCAATCACCTGCAGCAGCTCCGCCTTGGTCCTCGCCTCTGCCGAGCGAGTGTTTACGGACTGCACCATGCTGACGGTTTCTTTGGCACAATTGGCAGGGGAGCCAATAACCGGCAGGGAATCGCTGTTACGCCTCCCATGACCGCCGCCGGCCGTAGTGAAGGCGGAGTTGTCGCTCCGTACAGGGGCCCACACTGAGGTGTGCTGCGTAATGGCTGGTATACCGCCAGGGATGGGCATGTGGGCAAAACCAAATCGTGTCACCAGCTGCCGTATTTCTTTTTTTTCTTTTTGTTTTGCCTTCCAACTTCCTCCTCCCGCCGCGTCGCCGCTGGTCCTCTGCAGATGGGCACCCCACTTTTCTCCTGGTGGAGAAGTTGTGTGGTTGTGCGTGCACGCGCCTGTTCACGCCGCGGATTCTTCGCCGCCGCCTCTCCACTCATCCAACCCACACGCACACACGCAAGGAAAGAAGGGAAAAAAAGTGATGAACACCACAAATGTGACGCCAAAAGGAGGTGGTTCAAGGCAACACAAAACCAGCTGCAGGCCAAAACGCCATTCACAAACGACGAGGAGTGTGTAAGGAAAAACAAAGACAAAAAAAAAAAGAGAGGAAAAATAAGAGAGAAACACAGACCTCTTTCTCCTTCTTCTTCCTGCTACCACATTTGCCATCGATGCTGCTTTCTTAAAGCTGCAACGCCGTACAAGTCCCTCCCTCTTGCCGCCACACGCACGTACAAGACGGCAACTACCCAGGCAAAGGTGTACGTGAATGCCTACAGTTCAGGAGGCACGCATAAATAACGATGCTCACCGCAGCAAGCGAGCGAGCAAAAGAGGGATAGGGAGGAGAAAGGGGTAACACACAGAGAGTGTATGAGGGTATCGGCGTTTCAGACCACCATGGCGGTAGCTGACCGAAGACCGGAGGCATGCCCCGTCGTGGCAGCAAGCCGTTTCTTGAGCCAAAATGCGGCGAGGACAGTCACACCGAGGACGACCAGCAGCAGTGTATCCCACAAGGAAACAATCGGGCCACTGTTCCCCATTGTCGTGCGTGCAAAGGCGCCAAAGCGAACCGTCAGATATGTCTGCGGCAGAATACCTAAAAAAGTGGCCAGCGCAAACACCCGCAGCGGGACACCCACGATGGGGGACGCTAAATTCACCAGCCAATTGGGTAGTATAGGGGTGAAGCGGAGGAAGAGAAGGTACACGAACAGTTCCCCGCGGTATCGGTTTACCTGCAAACGTATCTTCGCCAGCCCCTTGCCCTTCATGAGGCGTCCATCCACCCGCTCCACGAGACGCACCCCAACCAGCGAAGAGAGAAGGTAACAGCACGATGCGCCGACAGTCCCCAATAGAGTGCAGTACGGCACGCCCAACAGGGTTCCCAGAACCGCCCCCATGACAGCGTTCAGTGCGACTGTGCCGGGCACGCAGAGTGCTTGTAGGAAGAGATACACCACGGTGATAAATACCACCATCTGTGGCAGCTGGCTCGCTGCCAGTGTTTGTATTTCCCTACAGAGCTTCGCAATGCCGGCGGCTGAACGCAGAGAGGTCGTGTCACTTTGCACAATTCTCCTCATATCACGCATGAGGGCAAAGGTACCCGTGAAGTACATCATCAATACCGCCACCACCATAATGATGAGAACAAATTTGATCAGGTGGGACGGCACCCCGCTGCGGTCCGCAACGTGAGCCGTGGCAACCATAGTGACGAGTAAGCTGGCTAAGAAGAATGAGGTCGAGGTCCCTTCTGCGCCCACCTCCATCAAAACGGGCGCCACACTCCGTATCGTACACACGACCCCACCAAACACGCACACGCACACACAATGACGCAGATAAAACGAGGAGAGAGAGGAGACTGTTATTGCTCCTTTCGCCTTCTATAAATATATATATATATAAATATATATATATATATATAATACCGGTTACAATTACACTAGAGTTAAATATTATTATTTTTTTTTATTTCTTGTGGTATAGATATCTATATAAATAGATAGATATGTATACGTATTTAAGCCTCTTGTGTGTGTTTTGCTTTGCTGTTCGCTACCTATCCCGCTTGTGTGTTTTTTTTTCTTATTATTCTTCGTTTTTTTTTCTTTTTGCTATCTTCGTAACCGTCACCTCCTGCTGCTCCCTCTAAACTTGTTGTTACGGATAAAAGTGTGAGCAAAGTGAAAAAACTCCTCTGGCTCTCGCCCACCCTACACACACACACACACACAGAGAGAGAGAGAGAGAGAAGAAAAAAAAAAAGAACGAAACACATAATAAAAATCCAGACAGGCAGGCAGATTGTGTGCGGTGCTGATTCCTCATCAACCGCCGGTGTAAACGCACAGCGTGCGGTGAGAGAGAGAGAGAGAGACGCGTCGATGACTATTTCCCTCGCGCGTAAACGATATACGTCACCCCCAGGCGTCTCCTGAAGTTCCGCACTCCCCGCGCCTTCAGGAAGCGCCGCCCAGTAGCTCCCCCTTCATCCACTCCATACTGCCATCGTAGCCCAGCGCCGTGGACTTCGTGTTGCTCCGCCCCATGCACTGCCGGATTCCCGTGTGGAGGTCGTCCTCCTGCAACACCCGCTGCACGTGTCTGTCACAGCATGCGGAAGAGGAGGCTGCGCCGTCCTGCTCAAACGGCACCGCCATGCCGCATCCCCCTGTCCCCAGTGCCGTGGCCCGGCTGCACCACCACCACTGCCTTGGGGTCGCCACGCACCGCCGCATGCACCCGACACGACGACGAGCCCACTACATGTGGCGCGGCAAAATAAACATGACAGCAGAGTCGCTCGCAGGCAGATTCCAAAAACAAAAACAAAACACACCCTTTAGGCCTCTTCAAACCAAGGAAGGAGGAGGAGGAGGAGGAGGCCAAATGGCGGAAATTGTCTAGAGGGAAAAAGACTACGGAGCGGGGGCAAAGCAGCTTTTTCTATGCGGCAGCCATGGCATGCGTGGCTGGCGGTGTGCATCACGGCACGACGAGAAGGGGGAAATAAGTTGGGGCGGTGGGGAACGTCATGAAGGAGGGAGGAGGAGGGGGAGGAACGGAAGCGCGATAAGGGCAGTCGCAACAACGGCGTACACCGCTGTACTAGACGACTATAAAACGTACGTGTGAGTAGGCGGTCACGTTAATAACAGGCAGAGAGGCACAAACTCACCTCCCTTCGTGCGTTGACCCAAAACTAAAAATAACATACAAATAAGTACTGCACACGATAACAAACAAACAAACAAATAAATAAATAAACACAAAACACACACACATAACAAACACGCAAAAGTCTGGGACAACCCCAGCGAGGAAAAAAAGGACGGCAATCAGTGCGTGGAGGAGATGCACTCAACTTCGCCAGCTTCCCTCTCCCCCTCGTTGGGGCCCTTCAAAAAAAAAAAAACACGCGTTAGAGCTCCCGTTCACGGCTGGTGGAGTACATCAATCGGCGTCTCGGTGAAAGCGACGAGGTAGTGAGGCTGCACGGCGGTTCCGAGTTGAGCGCGAGTCGTGCCACGGACGCCACAAGCTCCATCGAGAGACGTGAGGTGCCGGATGGAACACCGACGCCGTCCTCAGAGAAGGAGTACAACCCGCTGTGCGGCAACGTTTCCAGCTCAACGCGGTGTCGCTCCTCCAGTTTACGCCACTTGCGGAAAACGGTGTTTTCTTCCTCCTGCAATGCCGCAGCCCGCACACGGAGTTCCGCCATATTTTTTTCGGTCGCTTCGCGCTGCTGCTGGGCGTACCGCTTTATGATAGCAACCTTGTGAATATCCTCTCCCATTACAATCTGCTCCTCCTGCAGCAGCCGCTCCTCCTCGGCGACGCGGGCCTCTGCAGCCCGCACCCATTGCCTTGCCTGCTTAAGATTCGCCTCGTACCCGGCCAACTCCCCACATAGCGCCTGCACATAACCTGTCTGCGTCTCGACGGCGGCCAGCAGTTTTGGCTTCTGTTCTAGTGCCTCGGCAAGCTCCTCTTCTAGGAAGCGCACCTGCATCTGCAGCGCCTCAATGGCCATGCGTTGGGTGGAGTACAGCTCGCCCAGCTGCGCCGCGTTGCAAAGAAACCGGTCAACCCGCTGTTTCCATGTGACGGGGTTATGCACAGGGGCACGATCCCTCACACGCTTAATGCACTTTTCAAGAAACTCAACCGCCAGCTCCCGCTGCTCCTCCGTCTTGACACGAAAAAAGTACGTCTTGCTGGGATTGCGGAAGGCCACTGCAAAGCAGTTGAAATGCGTGTCCTTGCAGTGGGAGTACTTTTCCGGGTCAGGGCAATTTATCAGGGCCTCCACCTGGCACTCCCCGTCCCGCACAATGTAGCGATGACCGTGAATGCGGCTCTTGACCCCAGGCTTGGGCTTCTCTGCGAACCAGTCAATCGACTTCTCCGACATTTGTATAAAGCGAGACTGCCAACGACGCAGGTGTCCGCCGCCAAGTTTCTCCACAAACATCTCAAGATAGTCCTGGCGCATCAGCATCGGCTTGTAGTGGACGTCGACGGCGACGCGAAGGGCCTCACCGTGGGAAACGAGGGCGGCGCAGGTTTCGCAAAGCGGCCGCGCATTGGGATGCGCGTCTCTCTCTCTCACAGGTGTGTGCGGGTTGCTTATCAGTACCAGCGGCTCCCCCTCATGTGGACGCAGCAGAAAGGGAAACCACCCAAGCTCACGCGAGGCATAAACTTCATCATTCTCCTCCTCCGTATCATCCTCTGTGTTGACGGCTGGCGGTGAGCTCTGCTGCTCGCGTCGCTGCTGTTGCCGTGGCCACGAGCGAACATTACTTAATGAGACCCCTCCCTCGTTGTGCAGTTGCTTCGCCGTGTACACAAGCTGCAAAGCAGCGCCAGTCTGCAGGCCGAGCTCGTTCGGGGTGCGGCGCACGTCGAGTGGCTGCCCAGAGGCGGCCATCAAAAGTGCGTAATCGCCTAGCCCCGGCACCTCCATTGCTGCTGCGGTGGGAGTAGAGGCGCACGTCTCACGGCGCGCCTCATTGATAGCTGCGTTCAACGCCGCAATCTGCGTAGCGTCGCAGAGTGCAATGTCCTCCTCAACAACCCACCCGACGCGCATCTCCGCCGCCCCCAGACGCCGCACAAAGCCACAGCTGTCATCACACACCAACTTGAGAAGCATGGCGAATCCAGCTCAGTGCCAACCCGGGCGTAGCACACTTAAACCAACTACATAAGCGTACGTGCATGCATGCAGCCAAGCCCCGTCACCCGCCATCCCACCCAACGAACGCAGGAGGAAAAAAAGAAAGGAAGAGATGAAGGGTGTGGTGATGCAAACCACAAAGAAAACAGTCCAAGCAGCTGCGCCGATACAGAAGGAAAACATTTATATAAGGTAGGAAGCAAATCATGGCACGCTACTCTCTTAATGTCTCATTGTACTGAAACAGAAAGAACTTGGAAAGTTAGAACTCCATTTCTCTCTCCTTCTAACTCTTCTTATTTTCCATTTACTCTCTTCTTAAGTATGTGTTGTTGTTTTTTCTTGTTTTTATCTTTTTGACTTCGCCTCTTGCTTCACTCATTCACGTTGTTGTTGTTCTTGTTGTTTTCTCCCCCTCGCACCCTCCCCACCACGTGTGCGCCTACTCATCCCTTCCTCATCTGTGTATGGTTGTCCTCCTAATCTATGATGCATGGCACTCTATGGAAATTATGCTATCATTTCCTTCCCCACGCGATTGCCGTTATGCCAGCAACGGCATTTCTGCCTTGATCCTCCCGCATGATTACTCCTTTCTTTTTGTTGTTGTTTTTTTTCGCTCTGCGTGTCGTTGTTTCTTTACTCATCATAGTCCTCAGCAGGTGAGAGATTAATGCGCCATACGCGGCAACGCCAGATCCGTCACGCCGTCACCGCCGTCCACGTCGTCATCTTCTTCCTCCTCGAGGTATCGTTTCCGCAGCGCTTCCCCGAATGAGACGCTGCGAGGGGCGCCGACCTGCGAGGTCTCGTGGCCCACATCCACTAGCAGCGCCTCGAGAGTGACCGGGGTGCTGTTCTCGGACTGGTCAAGGAATGGGTCCACCACGGCACCCGCCGTCGTGTCTGCGGCTGCCAGCAGCGCCGCGGGACGGCCATCAGGCAGCGCCTTCGGGCAGAAAAGGTTGACGGCAGTGCGCCGGGGTTCATTGGCGGCGTCCATCACAGGCGGCGACACCTTCTTGCCGCCATTTGTGGGGCCGCCTCCCTTGCCACCGCTACCGTTGCTGGATGTGGTGGCGGGCAATGGCTCTGGTGAGGTCACCTTCGTGTTGGCGCGCTGCCTTGGCGGACTCCCCACTGGAAGCAACGACTGCTGCTTCTGCTGCTTTTCTAGCCCCTCTACCGAGTCGAGATCAATCGACGACTGCGAGTCGCCAAGCACCAAACACGACGTAGAGCGACTGCCCAGTGGTGGCTGGGCCGACGGCGCCTTCGTCAATGCTATCATCGTCGTCTTGGCAGGTTTGCTGAACGGGTTCTGTGGCTTCGTGCGGGTTGGCGTGCTTATCGCTGGACCCTGCTGCTGAGGGCTGCTGCTCTTCATCCCCCTTTCCAGGACGTTCCTTGGCGGCGTGGTGGTCGTGACTTCCGCCGGCCGCTTTGTAGGTGACGGCCCCACCTGATCCGTAAATGTCACATGCCGTCTCGATACACCCGCGGCGGCGGTGGTGGTTGCAATGGGAGCGTCACCAGCAGCTGGCCGTCGCTCTGGTGTCACCGCGGGGGTGACGACCGCAGCCGCTTGCGAGACGCGCCCACTCGCCTCCACTACCGCCGTTGTCGCTACTGGCTGTGGCTCCCCTGTGTAGGCATTGCCCACCGTGGCGGTCGCTGCCGCTGCTACCGCCGCGGGATTTTCCTTCGCCAGCAGCTTCCGCAGCAGCATGTCCCGCTCTCGCTCACTAACGACGGAGCCTTCAAGCGGCAAGGTGCAGCGACGCCTCTTCTTCGCCTTCATCCGCACCTCCAGCAGCGCGAGTAGCTTCTGCACCAGCTGCCCATGCCCCTGCGCGTTGGCCTCCTTGGCGCATACCTCAATGTTGTCTCGCAGCTCAAGCTGGGTCGCGAGGTCGAGGGCGCGGGTCGTCTGTTGTTCTTGTAGTGTGGTTTTAAAAAGTTCAATAATTTTTCTGTCATGCAGCGCGTCGTGTTTGGCGATAACGGCGGTGTAAAAGCTGCTGCGCCGCTTCACCTCGTCGGTACGCACCTCGCGTCGCAGCAGGTGGTCCCATGTCACCATATCCTTCTCCGTGCCAAAGCGGGTGAGTGGCAAAAACAGGCGCACGTGCTCTGTGGGTAGGCCACTGGCGATGGCGACAGGGTACGGCGGGTCGCTCTTGCATGAGCGGTACGCAAATACCGCCTCATCGCTGACGCCCCATATCCACAGATTGTACGTCTGATCCGTCATGCACTGCGGGTCCAGCACTGGCAGCCAACTCCCTCCCCAGTTGAGCGTGAACATGCGTAGCACGCCCGCGGTGTCGGCGACATGCAGCGGGCCGTCCTCGGACCACCCCATCCACTGCAGCTGGTGCGGTCTCCCGTCCGGCTGCGTTGTGAGAGGAACAACTACAGACGGCAACACCACAGAGCGAGAGCCCACATCGAGCACCTGCAGCCGCATCTCCCCACCGCCCTCCAAGTAGCACACCGCGAGGGGATCAAAGTCGGCTTTGAAGGAGTGCATAATCTTGCTGCTGTTGGTTCCCACCATCGTGACAATGCGAGGGAAGAGGCTGAGCACGGCGATCTCAAGCCCAGAAAGGGAAAAAAGACGTAGATACCGGCTTGTGGCGACCGCCGTGTAGCGGATACCGACCGTAAGGCACCGAACCGTCTCGCCTGGGTACAATCGCACACGCCAATCCGATTGCGCCCCAATAGCGACAAATGTGCGGTAGTACAAAGTCAGTCGCGGCGTATCGTCCACGCTGTCCATGTCAGCGTCCTGCGCCAACACAAAGGCGGCCCCCACAGGACTCAATGCAGCCAACAAAATAGTGCCCCGCTCCAAGATACGCACAGCCTGAATAGACATGTCATGGAAGTGAATTGTGGTGCCCTCAGCGGTGCTGTGAATGTAGCCCACCGAGTTGTACGCCAAGTAGCAACTCCCCTCCTCCCCCACAGGAGTTGCACCAATTTGAAAGGAATAGTCAAACACAGTCGTCGCACCCCCGCCTCCAGCTGCAGTTGCTGCTTGCATCGACACATCATTCAGTGAATGCGATGACGCCAATGAACTGTTTGTATCTGTCGCCACCAAAGATCCCCCATCGTCTACGCCACGGCCACCACGACGGTAGCCCTCCCCCCTCTCCATGGTGTCATCACCGTCACTGGCGTTATCCGACGACTCCTCTGCCTCGTCGTCAAGAAATACGGATCGGTGTTTACGGCACTCCTCCTCAGCAGCTATAAGTGCCTCTTTGGGGTTCTGCTTCCGCCACCGCGAGGGTCGCTCCTCCTCGCTGCTGTCGTCCTTGTAGTGTGGGTTGGTGCGCTTCAAGTCATCCACCACCTGCCGGAAGTCTTCCTTAGCGATCAAAGCGGACGAGGAAGCGGAATGAGACCCACTGTCATCATCACTATCACCAACCTCCTCGTCGCCACTGCTGCTATCACCGATAATATCATCATCGTTATCTTTTGCAGGCTTCTTTTGAGTCTTGTCGAAATGCCTCTTCTTGCCTGTGTCAGCTCCTCTGACGCTGCTGCTGCCGTCTAAGAGCACCTCCCTTTGCCTCTTCTTCACGGACCCATCGACGCCGTTGGCCGTGGGTAAAGCGCCAGTGTCCGCAATCCTCTTCGCGGCCAACGCCTTTGGCGCCACCCGTCGCAGGTAGGTGACAGTGCCGTCCCTCGTCCCAACAACAACATCACCGCTCGCCGCATCCGCATGGGCATCCGTCACTTCCGTGCAGCTCTGCCCCTGCAGACGCGTCACGCCCCACTTGCGGACATCCATCTTCGCGACGACAATGCCGGTGGTGCCGGCAAGCACCACACATAGGATATTGGTGGAAAGGGCGTAGCACGTGGCGCCCAGCAGGTCTGTCATGCCAAAACTGTCAATCCCAGCCACGTGCCGGAGGCGGTGTTTGTACGGCGGTGTTGTGGCCTCCTCTAGCCGCAGCACGCGGAACTCCGCCACACCGGGGACAAGCAGCAACAGAGAGCCTTCCCCGTCGCGGCCCCAGCACAGTCGGTAGGCGACGGTGTCGTCCCGCTTCGCCGTCGGGGAGAGAACATTTTGAAGCATGAGACTTACATTCCTGAGCCGTTCCACCGCCGCCTGCTGCTCTGGCGCAGTTTCCGTTTGCGACAACGATGAAGCCTGGGAGTTGCTGGAGGACCAGGCAGACACAACGCCTACAGCTCCGCTCGCGGATGCCACGGCAATAAGGTTCCCGCACGGCGAGAGGGCAAGGCTGACCAGCGGATGGGGGACATTCATCGCCAACGTCTGGACACTGCAGCCGCTCGGGGACATCTGCAGACAGCGCAGGGAGTCGCCGGCGACAAACACGCGTTGTCGCTCCGCGTCAAACAAAACGCAGCGAACTTCACCCGTCACGCGGCAGATGACGCGTGAGGTAGAGGTGGAGGTGGAAAGCACATTCTCGTGCAGAATAACTTTGCCGTCACGGCCGCAAGAGAGCGCCAACTCCAACGCAGCATGCAGCACAACGTAGGTGACAGCTCCATCGTGACACTGGCGGGCCCAAAGATGATGGCAGGACGGCCATCGCTTCTGTGGGTAAAGCGCCACAACGCCGTCCACGCCGCCCGTCAAGACATGTGAGGCGCCCACACACACACGCGTCGCCCCGGCTGGGTGAGCCTGCAGTTGCGGAAGCATTCCTTCAACACCATGCAGAGAGAACACCCCATGTACAGCGTACAGTTTGGAAGTGAGACAAAATAAAGAGAGGCAGACATGCAGCAAGAAAGTCAAAGAGAATAAATAAATAAACAAATACAAGGAACCTGAGTGGCATCTCTCACTCCAGTGAAGAAGCAGAAGAAGAAGAGGGGAGAGTGGTGCTGGACAGCTCCCTCTCAGATACAACAACACAAGGGCTCCTTCCTTCTCGCACGGTAAAACCCCTTTTTCATAGAGGTTATGGCTGTAGGAGTTGGTGCCGCAGCTTGCTGCGATGCGCAGACCCGGGAACAAGGATGTGGGAGAAGCTATCGCCGAGGTTGCAGCCCAAAAGCGTGCATAAAGCCGCAAGATCCTCCTCGCCCTCAGCCCGGAAAAATTACCTGTACTGGGCAAGGAGACGTGACTCAAGGGAGGCGTCCAACACCGCCATGACCTCACGCGTTGCAAGAAGATCATCGTTCTCCCCGACAACACCAGTCCGGGCAGTGTCAGCCTGAAAAAATGACTTGCCGCACCGCTGACGCCGCGGGAGGTGGGGGAGTCGCACGCGTCTCACATGTAGGCCGAGGAACATTCAGCCTCGTGTCTTCTGCAAGCATCGATGCTGTCTCCGCGTCCATGTGTGTTGTTTGGCAGCGCACGGTAGTTTTCCACGCACGCTCCTGGCGCAGTAGCGCCGCAATAATTCTCCTCGCCCCTCCGCCTCGCAGGCACTGCAAGAGGAACAAGGGGGAAAGAGGGAAGCCCAAGCATGTAGACGGTGTCACAGGCACAGCGGGTCTCTGGTCCAAGTCGCCTTATCACGCAAGTGGGGAGGGGGCGAGGCTGCTGCAGCTCAAGAAAAAAAGCTCAAATAATATATATATATATATATATATAAGAAATAAAAAGACCCCCGCACACAGACAAACACCAATAGGTGTAAGTTTCACCCTGACGGGTCGGAAGATCACAGTTATCAGCTAAGCACGCAGCAGAAATGCACAAGGCAAGCAAAAAATAGTACAGGAAAACGAGCGCCACCAAAATTCTCACACCACTCTTATGCCTTGCATGAAACTCCTACGTCTTTGGTGGCACTCGCTGCACCGCGCCTCCTGTGGTTGCGTGTAATTTCGAGGCCGAGCCAGATGATCCCTCAGGAGCCGAGAACGATAAGCCAAGCAGTTGCTGCCTTTCGTGTTCCTTTGCCCGTTCCCGGGCCCGGCGCACGGCTCTCATGAGACGTTCTAATGTTATCCCGTCAGACCGCACAGGCGTGCGCGGTGGGGATGGTGATGGCGTTGATGGCGGTGATGGCGGTGACGGCGGTGACGGTGGCGACGGTGGCGACGGTGGCGACGGTGCCTCCGCAAGCGGTCCCGTTACGGATGTTGCAGGCGCCGCGCCTGCTTCTACGAAGGTTGGCGGCGGCGAGCTCGTGGTGGGCGCCTCTGGTACCGAACACTGCGCCGCGGTGCTGCCGACCCCCCTCCCCGCCTCTCCTCGTCGCTGGCGACGTCACGACGGCAGATGGCCTCCACCGCATCTACGCGTCGGCGCAGTGCCAGCAGCTCCGCTCGAACCCCAGCGTTTTTCTCCTCCGGCAGTGAGGGCCAGTCGTCCAGCGAATACGCGGTATGCGGCGGCACAGAAGCGGCACCTCCCCTCACTGATGATGTCGTCGCGGTCGTTGCGTCCGGCGCAGCCGTGTCATCTGCGATGTTATACGGTTGCTTCACAGGGTCCGTGGAAATGGGTAGGCCATAGTTCAACTGGTACCACGCCGTGATGGGCTGGTCGCTCTCCGGCGCTCCCCATGCACACACACTGTTGGCCGCGTCGCGTGTCACCCACCACCGTTGCGCCACCCCCTCGCCACGGTGCTGGGACAAATGGCTATCCGAATCCCCAATCACATCACGCGCAGCGCGAGGGAAAGCCGCGGAGGCAGGGCACGGCAGCGGCGACAGCGCGGCCCGCAAGGATGAAGAAAAACCAAAAGCCGGGGCGGGTCCTCCCACGCCTCGTCGCCACCACGGCTGCGCAAGTGCCGCACCAGGTGTGACACCTTCCCCACCCATGACACGTGTGCCGTCGCACACGCAACGCCCCGCGTAGAGCCTGTCGAGACAACTCGGACCTACAGAGGCAGCCACCAACGACGGCGCAAAGTCGCTCTGAGTCTCCGCACCGTAAGGATGCGAGAGCACGGGCGTGTGCCGTGAACCCTCTCGCGGAAGCATCCACGCACCACCACCCGTCACGCCAATCTCTGCGTGTGTGTGCAGCAGGCACCCTCTCAACAAAGACGCTCCTGAACAGGCGCAGCAGGGCAAACCTCAGAAACGCACGCTCACGCGGACCTCTACCGAAAACAAAGGTGTCACACAAAGACGGCAAAGGGCGGAAGAGGGCGGCAAAGGCGGAGATAAAACAGCAACAACAACAGACACACAAAAAAAAAGGAAAACACTGGAAAAAAGAGGACGCTGTGATGGCGACCGGGAAGCCACCGGCGCAGAACCTTAAAGTCAAGAATAACGACAGCAACACAAGCTGCGCCTGACTGCCGTCTTCCCCCTCCTATTCCTACACAGGGGAAGGCGCACAACAACGGGGTGGTGGCGGTGCAGGGCGGTGTGCACCCGGCGTCCCCCCTCTGGAGAGTAAATTTGTCCCACATACACGCACACTGCGAGAGAGCAGCAAACGAACTCACAAAAAAAAAAAAGAAAAAAAACAGGAAAGATAGGACAGCGGAATCCCTACGCTGTGAACGCGCGCGAGGTGGCGGTCCTGT